GCAAGGGCTGTAGCAGTTGTCTGTAGAAGGGATGGGAACAAGAAAGAATGAAGAAGCATGGAGTCAATAGAGTCAGTAAAGACTGCAGGAAATAAATGTTTAAGCTAATCTTTGAAGGAGGGATTACCATTTGTCTAGAAAAAGAGGACTTTTCTAAAAATGGGGCCATGTGCGAAAGCAGAGGGCAAGAGGAAGCATGAACATGGTAAGGGAATTCTAAGCAATTCTGTCTTGTACTATCCCCTCCTTCATAAACCCTTCATTGTAGCCGGACTTGACTGTTTACTTGGACCCAAATTCAGGCTGCCTTTGATCACCTGTCTTTGTTCATACTACTCCATTAGAACGCCCACTCCCTTCACCAAATGTCCACATTCTCCTTCTTCCTCGCAGCCCAGCATGAACACCTCAACCTCCATGAGTCTTCTGAAAACATCTTCTCCTTCTCCAAATGACAGTAATCTCCCTCCACCCCTGGAATTCTCATAGAACTGTATTTAGATCTCTGGTATGGCATTTCTCATGAAGTCTCAAAGTTATTCAAGGAAAGATCCTTGAGGCCAGGGACCATCTTTTCATTAGAACCCATCTTGGTATTATTCTCACTACCCAGCATAGATCCTTGCACATAGTAGGCCTTCAATTAATACAGTGGTTCTCAAAGTGTGGCCTCAGGACCAGCAGCATCAGCATGCCTGGGAATTTGTAAGCAAGGCTGATTCTCTGATCCCACCCAGACCTACTGATTCAGAAACTCTGGAGTGAGGGCCTGTGCTTTAACAATGCCTCGGATGATGCTGGTGCAACAGAGGTTCAAGAACCACTAGATTAGCTGAAGGTCTCTCTTTTCTGCAATAGAAATTTGCAACTGCAGTCCCATTATAAGCACTTCTCTTCACTATATCTCAGACACAGTTTTAAACTCAGTTTATTATTTGAAATTTCCTCATTTTCATGTGCCTCTTTTCTCAACATGTCATCTCTATAAGAAATCTTTTTTTTTTTTTTTTGACAGAGTCTCACTTTATCACACTTGGTAGAGTGCTATGACATCACGGCTCACAGCAACCTCCGGCTCTTGGGCTTCGTTGATTCTCTGGCCTCAGCCTCCCAAGTAGGTGGGACTATAGGCACCTGCCACAACACCCGGCTATTTATTTTGTTGCAGTTTGGCCAGGGCCAGGGCCAGGGCCAGGTTTAAACCCACCACCCTCGGGATATGGGGCCAGCACCCTGCTCACTGAGCCATAGGCACCACCCATATGAGAAATTTTTTACTAGCAAAAGAAATTTGAGCACTACAAAAGTGCTATCATTATGTTGTAGGGGATTCCAGCAGCTATAGCTTTAGTAGCATCTAAGAATTAAACATAAGATTTGGGCTCAGCACCTATAGCTCAGTGGTTAGGGCACTGGCCACATACACAGGGGCTGGTGGGCTTGAACCAGGCTCAGGCCTGACAAACAACAATGACAACTGCAACAAAAAAATAGCCAAGCATTGTGGTAGGCGCTTGTAGTTCCAGCCTATTTGGGAGGCTGAGGCAAGAGAATCGCTTAAGCCCAAGAGTCTGAGGTTGCTGTGAGCTGTGACATCATAGTACTCTATGTAAGGCAATACAGTGAGATTATCTCAAAAAATAAATAAACGAACAAACAAACATGAGGTTTGAACTTACTTGTGGCTAAATTTCCTACTTTCCCCCCACCTTTTTTTTTTTTTTGAGACCTTGTCACCCTGGGTAGAGCACTGTGGCATCATGGCTCACAGCAACCTCAAACTCTTGGGCTCAAGTAATTCTCTTGCCTCAGCCTCCCAAATAGGCACCCGCCACAACACCTGGCTATTTTTTAAATGGGATCTCACTCTCGCTGAGGCTGGTCTCGAACTCCTGAGTTCAAGCAATCTACCTGCCTCGGCCTCCCAGAGTGCTAGGATTACAGGAGTGAGCCACCGCGCCCAGCTCTCCCCACTTTTCCCCCCACTTTCTCCTATGCTTTCCTTCCTCTTTTTCCCTTTCTCACTTTTCCTTTTTGCATTTAAATCCGTCCTCAGTTATAGTCAAGTGAGATTGTGCACTTTGCAGAAAAGATGCTATAATGGTCTTAATTAATAAGCCACATCCAAAATTTGCAATAAAAATCAAAGATTTCCCAGCAAGTGGCTATCTCACAAAATTTAGAACAAGTGTGAAAACATCTCGCTTTGCTCACTCACGTTCTTCCAATTGAGCATTGATTGGAACCCTTCAGAGGTAGGATTCCAATCAATGTGGAAAGATATCTTTCCCCGGACTTGAGTTCATTTCAAACCTTTCCAGGCATACTTAACTGCTTGGTGAATTTCAGCATTTACTGTGTAGAGGTCTGCCTCCTGTTGTGCAGAAAGCTGTTCTGAATTTCTGCCAAGAATTTTTGAGCTTTTGTGTCACCGCAGCCCTAATGTGATGGTCAGACAGGCTCTGGGCAAGACAAATGTGTTACCAATGTGCAAAAAAGATGCCCAAACCAGCACTTGTCCTTAATAGGCAGCCTGCCCCAGGCTTAGGATCTGAGCATTTTCTCCTCAATCACTTCTACTCACTTGTGAATGATATATAGAGATATGTACGTGTGTGCGGGTACGTATGTGCTGTATGTATATATATAAGACTGAATGAAGAGAATTGCAATAGCATAAAAGGCCACGCAATTGAAAGATTCTTTTGATTCACTATAATGAATCAGTCTTCATATAAATCAGTCAGTCTATAATGGGTCAGTCTTCATACAAATCTCAATCTGTGTGTGTAGTACCTGTTTGTCTTTAATATAGACAAAAACAAAAGAGTGGTACTAAACATACAACCACCGTATACCCACACACATTTTCCTTTATAAATACAACATCGTGGTAGACCTTTCCTCATGTCATAGGGATACACATCAGGATTGCCTAAAATATAAAGACAAGTTCCTTCCCAAATCTGTTAAGTATCTGGGGAAAGGGAAGGAGATATAGGAATTTAGGAAATAGATCTTTCAAGTCTTAAAGAATTAAAACTATGAAGGTCTTTTCTTCTCCATCAATATCTTTATAGTTTCAGTGACTGTTTCAGGGATGCATTAAATTCCAGGGGAACCTGAGTTTCAGTAAGTATGGTCAGTAGCCAAAGACATAATGAAAGGTCAAATTCTTTCATCTTCAGGATCTGCTCTATCTTTGCCACATCCCGTTAGGCTAAGTTCATTGATCATTTCATGGTTAAAGAAGTCAGAGTCCTAAACCTGATGAGAAAGTGAGTTATCGTTTCTTTCTGCTCCAAATACATGTATATCATGATCCTTCCCTGAGAGAATCTCTTGGAAAACGAAGCTCATGCTTAGTATCTGACATCGCTCTTAGTGTCTTAACTATAAAAGAATGTTCTATTTATAACTCTCAAAATATTAGCCTCCAGATTGTAGTAAATTATTTTTCACTAGGAAAGAGACAATAGTAGTCATGTTTTTCTCCTCGTGAACAAAACGTGAGTTTTAGGAGAGGATTTTAATCTGTGGAGGCGGGGAGAGTTCGCGGTGTTTGATTCACTTGATGTGCCCAGTTGGGATGCCGGTTCTTTTCTCTGGTTTATACTTGCTACTCAAGTAGCAAGTTCTATCTAAATATGTAACATAGTGAAAGTGTAGAACACTGTCAACTTTGGCAGGTGACATTAATTTACAAATACATATTAGAGCCTTTGGGAAGGAAAATCCTGTACTCAGATGATTCTTTGTGTAAGAGGGCCCCAAAGGGAGGGTTTTATTTCTGTTCTTAACAGTCTCCTAAGTGTCTAGGCTAAGTAATCAAGAAAACAAACCCTCATCTACAAACCAGTTCTATGGAGGTGGGACCCATTCTTCACTGTAGCTCTCTTCATCTAACTTCTGATTCTGCGCCCTTTACCAAGTTTCCACCCCCCCGATGGATAAGACACCAAGTCCTGGAATTGCTCAGGAATATCACAGTTGCCAGTGGCGGCCAGCCATTTTGTCCCTGCTGACTCCAGTCTGGCCATTTCCTCGCACTGCCCCAGTGGCAATTTCTAGGTTACTCCCTTGTCATTCTTTGTCTCCAGGGCTGCACTAGCCGGTTCTATTTCTACCAAGCATCTCTTTTGGACTTTTTCTTTAAAACCTCAACTCATGAACCGAGATTTGCTTTAGTAGGTTATTTCTTCCCTCTACTTGTTGTCATTCTAAAAAGTTCAACTCAAAACTTATGATTTCAATAGTTGGCAATCATCTTTAAATGTTCTAATACACAGATATCTATAGAAAGTTCTGGGAAAAGACAATGGAATCACTGAAACTTCTTCCTGAGGCGTGAAGTAGACCCATGGAGCCAAGATAATGGTCCCGAGTAAAGGAAATAGTCAATAATGTCCATATGAACTGAGCTGGGCACACAGCTTCTCACCCAAGCTAAATATTTTTCTTAGATCCTTTAATCCTCACCTAAAGTCAGCACTATTAAACCTTATTTTACAGACAGGGAAACTGAAGCTTAGCAAACTAAGTTACATGTTCAAAGCCATTAAACTAGTGAACTAAACTAGAAGCAAGTTTAGAAAAGAAGCCAACTTTTCTCCGAGCATGGGCTCTTTCTAATAAACTCGGCATGTCTTCTTCCACATGAAAGATTACCTCTAGGCAGTTTCAATTTAATTCTAAGAAGTGGTTCTCAGCCTTAAGGTATATTGTTCCTCCCCCAGGGCACATCGGCAGTCTGTGGGGACAATCTTGGTTGTTGCAACTGCTGGGGGAGTAAAAACTGGCATCTCGGGAGAATGAGAATACCGCTAAACACCCTGCCAGTTTCAGAACAGTCCCAACAACAAAGAATTGCCTGGTCCAATACGTCATCAGTGTTGAGGTTGAAAAACCTTGATTCCGAGGATGGTGGATTTCTAAAGCTATTTTGTAAAAAGCAGGTCGTCTCTTTTATTTGCTCATGTGTATCTTCTGTCCCGTCACAGATGACAGCAGCCTTCTGAATCTAACGCCCTACCCCTTGGTTAGAAGACGGAAGAGAAGGTTCTTTGGGCTCTGTTGTCTCGTCTCCAGCTAGGCGACTCCTCCCGGAAACCCACGGGGAACACCAGAAACAAAAATTACAAAACCTGAGGACCTCCAGACAGCTGAACCACACACTTATTGGTTTTGACTCTGTTTTCTATGCTTCCTTATTTTATCTGCTTCCTCCTGCCCTTTTAAATGATTTTACACTTGAAAGCAGCTGCCGTCAAGAAAAAAAAGAAAAAGAAAAAAAAAGATTAAAAAGCAGGCTGTTTTTACAAGGGATTTTTAAAGCTGACATTGCGCATGTCTGCTCCAAACCATGCCGTGACAGATGCAAGAATTATGATTTTTAAATTAAAGGTTTTTTTAGATGTATTATACAGAGACAAATTCTTTCACATATAATAGTATATCGATAGCTCTTGCTGATCTCATGCTAACAATTTATCCTATATGAAAGAAGTCTTTAAACATAGAAATCTATTTAAAACTATGAAACTGTGTTCAAAACTCCAATCTATCAATATCATTAGACATAATATTATAGGCAAACATAAACCATCTTACCTATTGCTTTCTCTGCACTCATTTACATCTAGTCTTCCATTCTGTCAGAATCTAAGTGCTTCGACATAAAAAAAAAAAAACCTTAATTTATAATGCAACAAACGCCACATCTGAAAAGTACTTAAATTCTGTAAATATACGGTAATCCTAATACCTTCGTACAATGCATATGGGCAACTAATTATCTTTTGATCCAATGGTGTCTTTTTCAGCTTCTTGGAGAATGAAGTAATCCCGTTAGGAAATGGTGTAGTAACATATACAATTACCCTCAGATGTAAAATTGAATATTATCACATTTTGTTCTAACTGAAATCTGAAGCATGGTGTCTGCACATCAGCATAGTGTTAAATCTTATAGGGCATGCTGGAATTAGCTCAGATCGTAAAAATATTTAACATTTTACATTGTTAATAAATTTTTTTTAGTTAAGCTAAGCTCGTCTCATTTAGAGGACTATGCAGATATGACTTTTCCAATGTGTACTTAGTGTCTTGTCTTATGCTTAGAATCTTGAAAGCAGGACACATTCAGCAATACTATATTTTAGAAAGGAGGAAGCCACATGCTTTGTTTTTCTGCTCACAGCTTTGTTATCTTCCTCCACTAAACTTGTAACATGGTACAAATCTTGTTATATTTCCCCCGTTCTTCCTTTGGCCCATTTCCCAGACAGAATTTCCCATGGGCTGAGAGATCAAGTCTTTGCACTTTTTTCCTTGTTTTCCATAGTCTGAAAAATCTTTAAGTCAGACAGGAGGCACCAGTGTCTCATCCAATAGAAAGATGAGCCAGATGCCTATAAGTGGTTTATCCCAGACACATTCTTAATTCCGACCCTGCACTTTCTCAATACTTCCGTGCACAGGCATTTATAGATATACTGATAATTTGACCTAAAAACTAAATGTATTGAAGCCTAAACTTTAGTGAAGATGAAGAGAGGTACAGATGAACTACTGGAATAATTGTTACATTAGGTGGAATTATTTTAAATTGCTGATATTTGACTGTCTTAACCTACAAAATAGCAGTTTCATATAGCTCAACCTAATATGTTGTGGAAATCATACTTGGAATTATCTTCTAGCCCTTTTGATTGAAAGAGACAGAATTAAAGGGTGGAAGAGGTCTCAAAAGGCTGCTTAGGTCTCTACTTAGATCATACCAGCTGGTTGTTGGCCTTATTCTTGGAGTCCAGAGTTGTGTTCCAATAAACCAGCAATTAATACATGGTTGTAGGTATGTCTGGCTTCACAAAAAGAACCCTTGAAAGGTTATTTAAGAAAAAAATCACCATTTGCTAAATCAGATACTTGTAAAAAACAGTGATGGGAATATGTTATTTAAAGACTCCTAGAGTAAATACATCCTTACAGAACCAACAGCCACTCCCAGACTCACCTGGTCTGCAAACCATGATTTTCATACATCAAGTTTGACTAAAGCTTGATATTCTTTCCTGAGTCCAGTTCATTTTCATCCCCTGAGATTTCATTTAATGTTCATTGTTTTTGAAATTATGAAGTAGCCCAATTTGGCAGCTTTCAGCTTCCCGTCTCTGCCTTGTCCCACCCTCCAACTATGTTGAACTGTAGCTCCAATCTAGTTCTTACTAATTCATGCAAAGTTATTAACTGATAAGCCCAACCTTGGTGTTCAAGCATGTTCTTCTGATGCCTGACCTAAATCACTTCTGCTCGGTTAATTTGTGCTCACTCTCGCCTTAGTGTGAAAGTAACACTTAACCTTCTGTGCAATTGTCCTTTGTACAACTGAAGACTGTTAATAAATTCAAGTCTCACCTCCATGTCTGGGAAGGCTGTAGTAGCTATTCATGGAGATGGGAATTTGTTTAGCCAGACTTTCCGTATCTAAGGTAATATATTCAGCCACCTTATCTTTTATTCATAGTGCCTGTTTTCCAGCCTTCGATCAGCTTTGTAGTTCTCGTGGACATACTCCAAGATTTATAGGTCTTCTTTTAGTGGCATGTCCCAAAATTGAATTTAGTGCTAAAAGTCCTGATAACCTATACTGGCTCATGATTGCAACAGGCAATTCACCATCTCCCGTTAGTCCTGCCACTGCATCCTTTAGGAGCTGCCCCACTCTCCTCTCACTTACCAAAGGACTTTCTCAGGTGTGGTTCCATGAGATGAAGTTCTACTATCTTGGCTTCCTGCTGGCAATTCACTTTCAGATTAGCAATAACACTGAGCTGATCTCTAAGGGTAAAACGAGAACATTGAACCCATTTTGTTACCCACATGTGCAATAAATGGGTTCAATAAATCAAGTTTGTGGGCCTATGGGTCCCCACATGCTTGAAACAGAGAAGTATGTAAACTCCGTATCCCACATTTTTAATATCCTGTGTTTTTCTTTTTTTTTTTTTTTTTCAGATTACAAAGACAATACATGTTCTTTGTGGGAAATCTGAAAAATACCACTAACTAGAAAAAAAAACAAAAATCACCTAAAATCCACCAAAGTCACACTGTTTAAAACTTCATTTCTGAGCTTTAAATCAGTCAGGGTTGGGTCTAAAGGCACGTTTGGATAAGATAGGTGAAGAAATGCCCACAAGGCCAAAGCTGTCAACTGAAAAAAAATCTATCCACTGATGTTTTACATATCTAGGAACAGACTCACTGCAAACTTTTGGTAGTGCCATTATTCAGGGGGACACAGAAAGCTTTCAAAGTGGCACAGCCCTGATGCCGCCTCTAATGAATTAAAGCTCTTGGAGGAAATTCTAAAATCATGCCCGACCGTTTTATTTCTTTATGCTCCTATAAAAGCAGAAGGGCTATGCAGTGTTTGGCAATACTGCCACCTACTGAAAACTGAGCGTCAGGGTGAGGGGAGAACAGGAGACACTGAGTATAAAAGCATCTTGTTGGTTTTAGATAGCATACCAATGGGCCAGGTTAGCAATGATCCCATCTAGAATTTCAGATTCTGAAAATCTCAACCCTGAAGGGAGTAAGCCTATCACCGACCCTAACTTCCCACCCTGCACACTCAGACCCATTCTTTTGTGTTCTAGAAAGTCCTCAAATGCAAAATGCTCAATTTCAGGTAACAATAAGGTAGGATTAGAAAAAGCAGTGATGTTGTTGGTTTCAGCATAAATCATTAAAATTAAATACACAGACCCAAGAACATAAAAGAGTTGAGTACATTATCAAGATGATATTTCAGAACTGTGAGAAAAGGTTGAATATTAAGTAAGTTATATTGGGATAACTGGTTAGCCATTTGGGGGGGAGAAATATTAGATCTATATCTCATAATTTTCACCAAAATAAATTGTGCATGATGTAACGATTGAAATGCTAAAACACATAAACAGACAAAAGAACTAACAGACAATATGGATGAATATTTATGTAATTTTAGTGTTAAAAAGTCTTTTTAACAGTGACACCAAAGGAAGCAACCAGAAAGAAAAGATGGATGGATTTGACTGATTAATGCAAAACTCCTATACGGTAAAACATGACAAACCAAATTAAGAGAAAACAATATTTGTAATATATACAGCAAAGAGTATAGATCTTCAGTATACATCAAGAGTTTAAACACCACTTTTGTGTTAGATTATGAAGTTTCCATAATCTACAACACCCTTTCCAGCCAAGTGTTTCTATTTCCTTCTTTCCCCATTGAACTTTTTCATGATTGCTTGTTTAACTGTCTGTTTATCTCCACTGAACTGGAAGAACAAGAAGGCAGCAACTGTGACTATTTTGCCTACTGTTGTATCCACAACACCTAACGCAGTGCTAGATGCAAAGCGAATACTGAGAACATACACATCGAGTGAATGAATAATGAATAAATGCCATTTGATGACTGAAGAAGAATCAAACTTCCCAATAAAAAATTGAGCTTAGGACCCAAACTGGTAATATACCATAAACTAAAATAATCCACTAATAATACATATGAAAGTGTTGGAATATACTCGTCATGAAAATGCAAATTAATATGGCAAACGCCTTTTAACAAAGCAGAAAGGCAACGAGTATAAAAGAGTTAAAGTTCCCAGGGACATAAAGGAAGTGTGAAAACGAACATTCTCTTACAGAGTCAACAAGAGTATAAATTGATTCCACCTTTATGAAAAACATTTTGGCAATATTACCCCAATAATTCTACTTTAGGGGAATTCTCCTTTAAAAGGATCACACCGAAAATAAGCTAAGATGCATTTATTCATTATTCAAACGTATATGCGAAAAAGTATGCTAATGGTTACATTATTTGGAGGAGTGAAAAAATGTAAATAGGACTACATTATACAGCTGGTCAAACATGGTACATCCTTTCAAAGGAATACTGTGCACCAGTTAAGAATCAGCACCCGATGTGTATTTATTGAAATGTACAAGCTATACTGTTAAGTGTAAAAAAGGATGTTACAGAAGAATATCTATAGTATGAATCCTTTTTAGAAATAAATGTATGCATGTGTGCGTTCAAGAGTCTGAAAGGATATTTGCCAAAGTGTTAACAGTATTTATCTCTGGGAGGTGAGATTTGGAGCAAGTATATTTTCATTTTGCATATCTGTAATTTCTAATTTTTCCACAATGAGCATGTAGTGTCTGTATAATTTTTTCAGGGAATAAACAATGCTGTTCACAATATATATTAAATGAAAAACATGTTACAAAACATTATGTATAGTATGACACAATATTTGTAAAAAATAAAATTATATATAAATATATCTACGTATGTATATATATGCATAAGAAAGCTAGAAGGACATACACTAAAATGTTAATAATAGCAGTTATCTATGGGTAGTGGGACTATGGATGATTATTTTTTCTTTTTGCTTTTCTGTGTTTTCTAATTTTTCTACAATGAACCTGTATTACTTGTGTAATAAAAACTAATAATAAAAGTTTTAAAAAATGAAAATGCGAGAGAAATATTTTGACGCACCACTCATCCTCCTCCCTCCCCGCATCCCCCCTTTGGTGTATGCTTGGTGAAAATGAGGGCAGGAGGAGATGAGGAGGAAACAGCTCAGCAGGGCACCACAGCTTTGAAGATAGAAGTGAGAGAGACACAGACTAAGAACGCTGAGGTGGAAAGAAAGAGGAAAGAAGGGAGGCGGGATAGAAGGAAACAGAAGAAGAGAACAAGAAAGAAACCGTTCAGGGACGTCAGTGAAGGAGGGATTAAAACAGGCTTCAGAAATTTTTTCACTAACAATAGCAATGTCTTTAAATTTAGCTCAGGTTTTCTGATAGAACCAGCAAGAAAAAGACATTGAGTTAGAAAGTAAAATTATTTAATAGAAGGATGTGCACGCATCCGTGCACACATGCACACACACACATTTGGAGAGACATCTAGGAATTAAATTCTGACAAAAATGTATCCCAAGAAGTTGTTCAAAACACAAACTTTTGCAGTCCAGCTGGGTATGAAGGGCCAGGCAGTGCAGCTTGGAGTTCACAGACCTTTGAACCTCAGACGTGCTTTGACCCTGGCTGTGGTTAGCAGTTCCTATGCCCATTTTCTTCTTTTTTCCTTTAGTAATAGACCCCAAATTGCATCAAGACACTAGTCATGTAGTGTCCATTTACCAGTTTCCCTTAGATGTGAGTGAGGCTATGTAACTGAATTTCGGCCAATGGGCTATCAGCAGGAGTGTGTGATGTGCAGGTAACACCCTTAAATAAGAGCCAGGCATCCCCACGCTCTCCTTTTCTTCCCTCTGGGCTGCAATGAGAATGTGGAATGGCAGCTGAAGTAACTGTCTTGAATCCAGAAATGGACACCACCTGAGGATGAGAGAAGTTCCCCATGTCAACCTAAAATAATCTGAAAAGGTCAGCATCTAATATACAGAGTTTAAATATAAAGAGTTGGTGTTTTGTTTTGTTTTTTTTTAGCACAAAGTGTGAAGATGGACCACCCAGAAACATACCATACCCCCTCAACTTGGGGGTCTGAACTAGGACAGTTAAGATTTTGTGAAAATGGGCAAACACAGAAGCATTTTCAGCAAGATTACATTTTTATTTTACAAATGGAAATGAATTTTAATAGAGAAAATGAAGACAGCCTTTTGCAAATGTATTGCTCAAAGGGGTAGCTCTATTTGAGGAAATAAGCATGTTACACTTGGAGAAATGAAATGTTACAGCTTGTACACCAAAATTAAAGAGTGAAATGAAATTAAAAAATGAAATGGTCACCAAACTAATGCAGGTCAGGGGATCAAAGGTGAAAGATCACACATTATTAAAAAGAAATCTGAAAGGACAGCTATATCATGATCTCTCATTAATTATGTTCCAGTGGTGCCCAGTATGTTCCAGTATGTTCTTTGGGTAAACTCGAACATTTCGGCAGACATTTAAGCAGCTTTTTTGGAAAACAATTTTTACATGACCACTATCGCTGTTCCCATATCATCTTCTATAGGTGACACAGTGTTGAGAACACAGTCTGTGGATTACATTTCTCATGCATGGTTGACATAGTTACAGCAATTTAATTGGTTCTAAGCAGTGTTCCTTTTTGGGAAGGGTACGTTGAACTTTTTTTTTTTTTTTTTTTTGGCAGAGGATATAATAATCATGGGTTTTCTGTCATCTGGTTTAAGCAAAACAGAACAACAAAG